CCCCTTCATTTTTTTTTCTTCTTTTTCTCTCTCTCTTAGTCTTACTTTCCCTTCTATACCTCTAGGACCTGCTCTAACCTCTTTTCTATCACTTCTAATCAATGCTTTTATATAACGGACACAATTTAGCTGGAATTTAATTATACATAAACATAATTTATTATTAATTATACCTGGAAATATGCAGTTTATTATAAATGAATATTTAAAGAATGACTTGTAATGTGTGAGAGGAATAATGTTTATGTATGATATATTTGCATTGTTATAAATTTGGTAAAAAAAAAAAAAAAAAAATCATTATTTATATTTACATTTTGATAGAGTTATTATGCTTTATTACATACTTACTAATAAATACGGATTTTTTGTATATGCGATACGACACATTTGCTCTAACCCATATCAGCCCTCGCCGTATCACACCCCAAAACTCGTATTAGCCCGCAAAACCCATATCACACCCCTTTTGGAAAAAAAATCATTTTTCAATATTTCAAAAATAAAAATAAATCATAAGATAGTAGTTTTTATTAGTAAGTATGTAATAAACAGAATAAAACACGCCTTTTTCCATATCACACCCAGTATCAACCCTCGACCAATATCAGCCCTCTGGCCTTCGGCCCTTAGGGTGATATTGCGGTCTCGGGTTGATACTGGGTGTGATATGGAAAAAGGCATGTATTATTCTCTATTTATTTAGTTATGTCGAACAGTTTTTGAACCGCAAATCAAGTGTCGACACAATAAAATTGATGACATCACAATAGAGATTTATGACGTTACAATAGCAAATGTTGTTATAGTCTCATAACAATATTTGCCTTCGCAATACATTACAATGGAAGGATGCAGATCAAATGTAAATATTTATGCATAGTCCGTCAGTCGTCTGATATGAAACAAATTCAGGTAAAGTTCATCTCTCCGATACTCGCAGTATACAGATGTTGCTTTATAAATAAAAGTTGCATGGATGGATATAGGAAACGCACGGGAAAAAATATGGTCGAGATGAAACGTAATGGCGCTGTTTTTTTTGTCTCAGTATACGTTTTATTTCATAAATATTGTAAATTATCCGGGTTCGCCTACAGCTACATTGTAATGTCACTTTTACATTAATGCTTTTGCGTCAACAATACTGTTTTATTACCTATAGGGGATTTTAAGTCGACATGTTTTGGAATGTCTGTCTATCTTTGCAATATTAAGCCTGTTAAGGTTACCACGCTTATTATGAAAAGAAACAAAATAGTTTTAACTGTTATCACAGTTGCCTCCCTTTCTATATGCAGCTTTAAACACAATGCCAATGATTGCAGTACATGTACACGTATGTAATGCCCTCGTTATGACGGTGCTGGGGATGTGGTATGTGGTGGTGGTGGTGTGTTAAGTAAGTGGTGGTGGTGTGTTAAGTAAGTGGTGGTGATG